AGTCATCATTGCACTATGAGAGAGAAGATGCGTGACCTTTCATTCTATGACACGTATGCAAAATTAAAATCAGGTTACAACCCAGTCTAGACCTTAATACTTTTTGTGCCTTTCATGAGTGAACATTGCTTCCTTGCAGAAATAAATTGAATTCGGAGGACTTATGTACATTCCGGAAGGAGGTGCAACTCGGATACAGGTGATGAATGACCATCATTATCACCAGGTAGTAACCCCTCTGCACCACCAACCCGGATGACACTTGTAACTGAAGTCCACCTACCCATAGTCGATCAGTAACCCGACTCATTAATGACTATAACGGTCGTCGACGCATTAAAACCAGTGTTATATAGCTTTGAATTAGGGGTGTTCGCGGTGCGGTTTGGGCGATTTTGAAGAAAAAAATCACCTGAATCGCAAGAGAAAAAAATATGTGGTTTGATTTGGTTCGGTTGACTTTTAAAAATAAATCTGAACCAAACTAAACCAAACTAATGCGGTTTGGATTGGTTCAGTTGGTTCAATTTTTTACAAAAATATTATTAAGCCATACATACACATATAGAGGAAATATAATTTGTGTTTAATTGTTCATACATTATCATAAAAAAATTTATAATTGTCAAAATAAGTTTATAATTTGATACATAAAATTGCGTATTATAATTTTATCTAAATCTAAAGAATGATATAAACAAGATTGCATTCTTAAATAAATATTATACAAAGAATACGATAAAATATATTTTGTTAAAATAGTATTTATAAATTAATAATATTTTTTTATGATTTGTAAATTAAAATAAATATCATACAAAGTATGTAAAATATACACATAGTACATGTTGATTTCTCTAAAGAATTAAAGAAATATATATTGGTTAGTAATATTTTATAACATAATGCGGTTTTGTTTGGATTGGTTCGGTTTGTAAAATACAAACCGCAAACCGAACCGAACCGCATGGTTCCGTTAGAAAATAATTCAAACACATCTGAACCAAATGCGTTTTTTGCGGTTTCGGTTTGGTTCGGTTCGGTTTTGTGGTTTTATATTGGCCCGGTTAGGTTTTGAACATCCTTACTTTGAACACCATCATTCACGGTGACGACGGCTGTTATACAGTTACGAAGCCCAAAGGTCACACCTTGATTGAGGCTCTAAATGGAACTAAAGGAGGAAGATATAAGGGGCTCCCGCGAGAGGGATTAGCAAGACATTCATTCTCTCCCATCTTTTTATAGACAGAGCCCATCAAGCGCGTAGACAAACAGGCACCTAGGGAACTCTAAAGGGCGTCATCACCATACCTTAGACCCTAGACCAGCCATCATCACACCTATTTGACAATGCGCGAATCGATGCACACAAGGAACGCAACCTCTCTAGATCCGCCTCCTCGGTAATAAAATACCATGCGAATCTATGAACTCCTCGCACAAAATTGCTCCTTGAAGCGAACCGCTCAACCGTTCCCCTCCCCGCGAGGAAAATGCAACGAACAGCATTTGCACCCCTCAAATAGTGCCAACACAAAAAGATCCCTATTACACAGGCCGACACTAATTCATCACTCCTATGCCCATAAGTAATATCTTGGGGGCTCCTGTTCTGGACTGGTCCAATGACTAGAATTGGTCCAATCTACTTCTATCCTTGGCACGGTCCAACAACAGTGGCCTAACATCCTGGTCGAGCACGCCCTCGGGCATACGACCAGCGATGCCCGACACGTACACCTGACCCAGTCAATAGTTGTCTCCCGTCAGTCTAACTCGAGTCGAGCAGACAACTAGTGTAATATGGTGGAAGAACTGACTTGTTTTGTATTTTATCGCAAATGTTGCAGATAGCAAGAGTCGCCACCTGCTTTTCTTTTATCCAATAAGGAAAGGGTGAAAAGAATAGGAAAAACCTTTGATAGATTTTGAGTTTGGGGGGGTAAGTTATGAAAAGGGAAGGTGTTAGCATCCTTTTCATTCGTAGTTATCTACGGGCTCTTAATTATTTAGCTCACATTAAACTTACTTTATATGTGTGTGATTTGAAAATATTTTGAATGCCAATTGTGAGACAAAATTTGTAATAATTCTTGTATCAGTCCTCAAGAATGTACACAAAGTGTTTTTTGAAAATATTTGTTTTGAAACGTGAGGCGTAAAAATGAATTTGTTTGTTTGAAACTGTTATGAGCCAGCAATTTATTGAGTCTTACCCACTAAAGGTCGTTCTTGTTATTTTCCTTCTCCGTTAGAGATAGTACTATCCACACCATTAGTTGGTAGGTAGCCCTATCTATTGGATATGGAGGGACATGTGTAGGGTCATCGTATGGTTATAGAAGGTAACATGTAAGGATACCTTAGCAATTGTATCGAAGAGACTATCATCTTTTTGCTTGTAGGGTCATCGAGGGACTAGATCATTTTCGTAGCCAACTCGAAGGATCATCGAGGGATTATGATCTTTATTCGAAAAGGACTATGATGATATTATTTAACTGAGGGTCTTTGCTAAAGTATTTCCATTTTCGTGGAACATGACCATTAGTATCGCAAGGCAACGAAGAGAGGTTACCCTAGAGGTGAAGTGTGTAAAGTGTATCGGTTTCAGTTATGTTATCTTGAAAATTAAGATTATCTACCGATTAATTTTATCTTGCCATACAAATCTATTACTACACAGTTATATATATATATATATATATATATATATATATATATATATATATATATATATATATATATATATATATATATATATATATATATATATATATATATATATATATATATATATATATATATATATATATATATATATATATATATATATATATATATATATATATATATATATATATATATATATATATATATATATATATATATATATATATATATAAGGCATAAAGTATAAGTGCGGGAAATTAAAATCCTACGCTATTACAGGGCCTTGGAGGCAGTTACATGATAAAGAAATTGTGCGGGAATTTAAATTAGGTTATTACAAAAAAATCGTGCGACCTATACAATTGTTTCTAGTAATTTAAGTGCAAAAGAAAAATAAACAAAAATGAAAGAAATATTATCCTAAAGTCCTAAAATCTAAAATATTAGAAATCAATTTTTTGTGTATTTTTTATTTGATTTTATATGTTAATAATAAAAACTTAATGTCTAGTTTTAATTAAAAATTAATTAATTTAATTACAAAAATCGAATTCTAATTTTTTTTAAAAGAAGAATCATCTTATCATATACTATCTATGATTGAAATTAATAAAGAGAAAAAGGACATGAGAATAGAGAAGAAGCATCTTCTTGAAGACCTACTCTTCCATAGTCATCATGAAGGAAGATGAAGATGATTTCTATAAAGATGTTGGTGTGTACACTAATTGTTCAACAAACTTCTAAGAAGATTCAAAACTACAAGTTTTGAAAGAGTCATATCAATGTCTAGTGTTGAAAGGATTATCCAGAATTGTCGAAGTATAAGTTTAAGCAAAGAAGTAGCTAATAAGACAAATAAAAATATTTAGAACATGTGTTGTTCCACTTCATTTGATATCTTGTAAAGGATTAAAGGTTGTTAGGATATTAAGATCTAACTCACATGTAAGGAAGATTGTACAGAATAAAAAATACAATATACATGACAACCCCTAATGGATAAGGGTTGTCAGAGACTTTAAGATTGTTAGAGTATTGAGAGCTAGCTCACATGAGGTGAGAAGCTGCTATATAGGTGTATTTCTTAGTGTTATTCATTGTCCTTGAATACCATGGTACTACTTTATTTGTAGCCCCCTAAGAACCTTTAATCGAGTGAGCCAAGTCTCCATAGAATATATCAACTTTCACAAAAATAAATGGTTGATACCCAAAAATCCGGGAGGTGCAATTTAGCCCCCATAAATTCCTAGGTATCGATTGTTATCCAATATATGCTAAACTCACAAATGCGTTATGGACACAGAAACGGAAAGTTCGAGCGATGCATACGAACGAGCAATGATCGAACCAAGCGAAGGGTGCTCGAACAAATAATGGGACGACTCAAGAAGGACAAAGCCTCTTTCCCTCCGCTCCCAAGGTCTTTCCCCATTATACCACTACAAATATGTATCCAATCGTTTATGTTTGATCGTATTTTTCTTTTGTTATTAGTTGTTACGTGTGCAGTGATTTAAATCCTAGATCATCAAATTGATTTGAGCGTTCAAGTCTCCTTTATCTTCTTGTAGTTGTACTTAATTTTATGTGTTTTGTTTGTATTTGATATGTTATTTGTCTGAAGTATGTGTTTGCTATATTTGTATGTCATATTTCATTCATGTGAGCATGTCACTCATCTGGTTGTTTATTATTCATCTGCACTATTTCATTCGTCTAAACATTTTGCAATCGTCCGCATCATTTCTTTTAATTGGCATCACTTTTTTCATTAAAACTTTATCATGTGCATTAAAATTTTCTTGGCATTATTAACTTTTCAATTATGCATTACAGGTTAGCATGAATTCACACGCTTTAAATTTTCTAGTTTGATCTTCATCAACACCTTCCTTATTTTAGTGCTGTTACATATTTCCAATAAAACACAATATCCAACAAACTACAACCATTAGAAAGTTTTCCAACTCCACAAGTGATTTTGCCAAACTTGCCTGCTAGTCCAGAAAATACATGTTCTTTGCACTGCTTTGGATTTTATGTAAGTCATCACAGTTTTTTCCTTAGTTAAATGCTGCCTTAGTGAGTTGAGAAAATCAACATTTACTTACTATTTTCAGTATTGTTTTCTAGACAATATGAGACTGTTGTTGAATCAGAAAAGGGATAAAAAAGTACTTGGCAATTTATTTGTTACAAAGACATAGTCAAGACATAACACAAATTTTAAGTCCAATAATGGATCTACAGAGATATTGAAAATTGTTAATATTTTCCACAACTTATTTAGTTTTGTTGGTGTATCATGCATATCCAACTCAGATCTTGAAATGTGGAAGAGCAGAACTGCCATCAAGTCCTTTTGCATGGTAGTAAGCTACATAATTGGAAAAAGTGGTTTCTCGATATATCGGAGGATTGTCTTTTGATAACAACTCTTTTATTGGTCCATAAACCTTTTCTTGTCCCCTAAAAAAGCATGCAACTGAGACTCTAGGACCAATGATATTTGCCACTACTCTGTGTTCAACACTCTTGAACCTATCATTTGTTACAAGCTGCAGTACAATAAAAATTATAGTTATTTACATTCACATGCAATGATAACAGAATTGTAAAGTACTAGTAGAGAACTTGCCTGCAGAACATCGCCAATATTAACAACAAGAGCCTCAGAGATTGGAGGTACATCAACCCACTTGTCCTTGTGAAGAACTTGAAGGCCACCGATATGATCTTGGAGAAGCACAGTGAGGAAACTACCATCAGAGTGTTTGGTGGTTCCCATTGTTAATTCTGGTTCGGGACAAGCAGGATAGTAATGACCAAATAACATAATCCACTTAGAACAATCCATGTCTTTCAAATGATTTGGATTCAATCCAAGAGCTTCTGATAGTAATTCAAACAGTGTGATTCCAAGTTTCTCTACATGCGCTCCATATTCTAGAACTATATCTCTACAAGAAGATGAAACCACCAAGCCATAACTAATGAGGCCTATGATTTAAGGTAGTATATATAAGAAAAGAACTCACCTGCATACAACTGGCAAATCTTCAGGTTTGGGAGCATTAGGAGCAATGTTACATTTAAAAGTGTCCCTCCAATTAAGTGCTGGTGAACTATACAAATTAAAATTACTATTATAAACCAACGGTCTTGTCCGGTCTCTAGTATACATCTCTTTCTTTACCTCAGTATCTTGTTCAAAGAATTTAACCACACCATCTTTCATATCCTCGAGAACTTTCAAAGGAATGCCATGATTAACCACTTGAAAGAAACCCCATGTCTCAGAAGCTTCTTTTATTTTGTTTATAATATCTTGCCTTGTATTTGTAAAGTCTATAACAGGAATCATGTGTTCTGTGTTGGTTGAATTTGTGGAGTTTGAAAACTTATCAGGTGGATGATGAAATAAGGTTGGGATTTTGACAATACCTTCATCAACAAGCCCTTTAACACCTGCTTTTGTCTCATCAAAAGCTTTGAGCTCATTCATCCTATTATCACACTCCATATTAGTTTCTTTATCCAAGTTGTGAATAATTGTTCGTCTCATCGTTCCTTATGAATACATGGTCTCTTAAAGAAGAGTGAATCACCAAACAACTTAGCTCCAAAGACCCATTTTAATCCACACAAACATAATCTAATAAGCTAAACATGTTACCAATGTTTTAAAAACGGGACCAGTCATCAAACCGGTGAAAGTATTGAATTACTGGTCCGTTGATCAAATCATTTGATCACTAATCGAATCGCATGGTTAAATCAGTTTAAATTGGATAATTCGATTGAATAAATCGGTCTTTATAACAAAATTATATATTTATTAAATGGATAGAATCAGATAATTTGATCTCTAAAAAAATCACGAAATCTACAAAATTTTAAAATTTCAAAATATCATAATTTTATATATTCATTCTTTAAATTCAAGTTCTAAATATAATCATCACTCACAACAAAATAATACAAAATACAAATTTAAATAAATTTTGAACCATATCTAATTGTAAACAAGAAAAAATCATTGAAAATAAAATTTGAATAAAATTTAATTATATATTTTTTAAAAATATTATGAAAATGTATCGTTTTGTCCGAAAAAACATGCATTTAAACGGCCGATTTTCAAAAACTATCGATCTAATGATTTTTATCGATTTTGATCGGTTTGCACTGTTTCAATAAAATGACTCTTCCGATTTTCGGTAGAACCAATCTGATTGAGTGATTCAATATGATTTTTAAAACACTCCATGTAACCATACAACTTAGTCCATTCTATCATTTTCTACGCAATTTCTTGGAAATTTCCAAGCTACTTTTGTATGGGGTGTCACACTTTTTTTCCATTCTATCACTTTCTAGGTAATATTTCTTTAAATTTTTCCACAAGTATGTTCTTATCTTTAGACCAATCAAACTATCAAAGTCTTCTAGATGTCAATTAAACATAAAAATATTCCAAGTTTCAAAGGTACACAAGATCCAAAATCAAAAGGGATAAATAACATTAAGGTATTACTTTGAATTAATTTTAGAAAGTGTATACATTACATCAACGAAACAAATGGTTTTGGCACGAAATAAGTATTCAACCATGTGATTGAATTTTGTTGAGAAAATAATATAATTTAAGTTAGTGTAACATATTGATACATTATGTCAACATGTTATATTTTAAAAGTTTTGGTTAAAAAATGAGTCAGAAAATAAGTATAATTAGTTGACATAATATATCAACTAATTATATTTAGAAGTTTTCAGTTTTATATGTGTGATATAGTGGCAGAATTGACTGTTATACTGATTTTGCGTTTGTGTTTGTAAAATGTTGCGGTAGTAATAGTTGTCATCGACTTTTCTTTTATCCAATAAAGGAAATAGTGAAAAGAACATAAAAAGACCTTTCGAGATTTGTTTTTGAATAAGAGGGATAGATTATGGAAAGGGAAGATGCTAGCACCATTTTCATCCATAGTTATCTACGAGCTCTTAGATGCTTAACTCATTTTTTGAAATACCTTGTGTTTTTGAAAAATATTTTTGAAAATGCCTTAGTGCGGCGATTTGCTTTATGATAACTATTGTATTAGTCTTCAAGAGTGTTGATAAAGCGTTTTTTGAAAGTGTGTTTTTTTTAAATGTTTTGTGTAAGTGTAAAAGTTTGTTTTTGAACAAGCATCTAGAAACTATCTACTTATACTCGAAATGGTCGTTCTTTTCCTCTTTTCCTTTAGACAGTGCTATCCTACTTTTTAGTGAGTAGGTAGCTCTATCGTTGGATGTTTGAGGGACATTCGAAGGGACGATTTATAGTCGCAAAGGCAACTTGGCAAGAAGTTTTAGTAACTACCTCATGGTTCTAAGATTATATTTTTACCGAGGCAACATCGAGAGGGTCATCGAGGGACTTATGATTTTTTGAACCGGAGGGTAGCCACTAAAATCTCTCACGTTTCGAGAGTTGTGACTATTTCCGAAGGCAACCGAAGTGGGAATACTCTAGAGGTGTATATGTGCAAGTGTGATGTGTTCAGTCATTTGTCTTTGAATTTAAGTTTGCTAACGTTTAATTTTATTCTTGTCATACAATCCTATTAGTCTAGCAGTTAATATATGTAGTAATTAAAAGTGCAGAAATATAAATCTAACTATTACAAGGCTTCAGAGAGGGGGGTTATTACATGTCCAAATTTTGGGGAATAAAGAAAACAACAAAGTAAAAGTCATAATTAACTTTATTACATCCTAGTAGGCAATTACAAAAAAAATAAAAATAAAATGCGAAAAGTAATAACACGCGCGAATTGAAAATACGTCTAAAAATCCTAAGGTATAAAAATCTTTTTGTTTGTTTTTTATTCTATTTAAGAAAATGTTTAAATAAGAATTAGAATAATTAACCTAAATCTAGATTTAAAGAAAAATAGAAATAATTAAAAATAATTAAAAGAAGTTAATTCTAATTTTTTTGTATTTTTATTATGAAAAGAAAATAAATTAAAATGAATTAAATCCTAGGTCTAATTAATTTTAATTAAGAAAAGAAGTTAAAATAATTAATAATTAATTGACAAAATTAATTTAATAAAAAAACCTAAAATATATATTTTTTGTGATTTTTATCTATTTTGTATTATTATAAAAAAATTAAAACAAATAAACAAATAAAACAAATAAATAAAAGAAAATGCAAATGGGCCTGATAGCAAAAGAAATAGGGGGGGGGGGGGTTTATGTTGTAAAAAAAACGCTAGGCCCAAGCAAGGAGGAGTCCATATCTGCTTTGTGATCCAATGAGGAGAGATTTTGAGGGTGCATGATAGGCCTGCACGTTGAGATGTTGGGATTGGCCTGACTGACACTTGGCAGCTTGGATTGAGAAGGTGTATGGTGTGCGCCTTGAGTCTAGGAATACTGGATCTGCAGTAAATTTGTTAGAAAAAAATCAAAATTCAGACCTGGGTATCGAACCCAGGTCTCTCCCCTTCACACGCGTTCCCTTCACCAACTGAGCCAGCTTGTCAATCGTTAATACAAATAAAACCAAAATATTATATATGAAAATGGGTCAGAATATTTAAAATTTAAAACGCGTGCGTTATGAAATTCAAATGAGCCAATCAGATAGCACGAAATTGCCACGCCTACCCCCAAACGGAGCCAACAAGTCAACGGCGCCGGAGGAGACCTCCGTTCATCTTCTTCGGGCATACAAAAATGGGATCTATGATTTTAGAAGCTTTAAGCCCAGAATTGAAGGCCTATTCCACACAAAACCGCACCCTGAACTAAAATATGACCTTATTTTTAACAGATCAAGCCTTAATCGTCCAGTTCACATCAAGATTCGGATTATGCCCTAAACATGGAAAATCCTTGTTTGAACACCTATCTCTTCATGTAATACGTTAGAAACAAGCAGAGAGATAATATGAACTTGAAAATGCAAATTAGAAACACTTATATTACATGTATTGAAAGATTCTATTATTCGAATTTTACCAAACTGAGACGATTTGATTATTCTGTTTCAGGAAGTTTCAAGCGTATATGAGAGATGCTTCGACCCCTGGGAGCCTCAGAAGGAAGGTTTAAACCTTTGTTTGGACTGAAAAGGGGTGGAAACTGGTTTTGGATTTTCACGATTTTGGATATTTTTTTAGAAATTTGTGGAGCTTTTCTCAGACTGTGTATGTGTGTCCCCTGCTTGCAAGTGTGCTGCATATTTATAGAGGGAGAGAGAACTTGCAAAGAAGGGAAGAAAATCACACAATAACTATTGTGTTTAAGGTCATGATTAAAAATTTGAAAAATATGCCAAAAATGAATATTTCATGCCATTTCCAACTTTGAGTGTATCTGGTCATATTTTCACGAAATCTTGGGCTTTAAGACAAGTCAAAACAGCCGCCCAAAGGCCAAGGCCCATCTCTAAACATTTTGTACAATTTATTTTATATTTATTTGAAATAAATTAAAATAAATATGAACAGAAAAGATAAAAATTGTAAGGAAATGAAAAAATGAGATTATAGGTCCCCTATAAGGTCATGAAATGTTTGAACCTCAAAAAGTTAGGCCATTAAACCAAAAGTTCAAATTTGCCCAATGCATAATCTTTGAATTTTTCTCAAATTTTCCTAACTTGGGGAACCCATAACTTGCTCAATTTTTATATCATGATTATGATCTTTGACTTTTTGGAAATCCTAAGATGTCTACTCCAAATGCTCTTTTTATCAATTTTGCATTTGAAGATTTTATCTTGATGTAAAAGGTCTTGGCAAAGTGTTTTTTGTTGACTTTCTGAAAATGACTTGTAATGTATGAGCTTGTATCTTTCAAATGGTACATTTCTTGGACTTGAGGGAAAAACAGAAGTTGTAGGGAATTATATTCTCTTCAAAATTATATTTGGTTGGGGAAAATGTATGAAGTATGTGAATGTTATGCATGGTCAAAGTTCAGTTGATTTTTCCTATAGAAACCTTAATTTAGCAATTCTTGACGTTTGATAGATTAGGAGCATTTCTTGAGGAATCATGATCAACCCTTGATAAAATTATGTACATCACTTCAAAATGTTGATGTTAACTATAAACCTTGAAGTTTGACTGTATATAGGCCACAATTGACTTTTGACCTAATATAGTTGATTTTCAAGCATTTGAGCAATTGATTGAGAAAACTTGTAGTGTAGGGCATGAAATTAGGCATGGGAAATATTGAAGACATATTAGGACCATGGAGAACGTTTGATACCTTTGGAGCTCACACATCTTGTTGAAAAGTGAAACCCTAATTAGAGGTTCATTGCTTAGGAGGAGAATTTGTCTGGTCAATTCTTGGTCATCCTTGAGCCATTGGGAACCTCAATGAGCATGTCTAGAGTAAAATTGGAGGGAAAATTTTAGGGTATAATAATATGTTAGTTAATTGTACCTCATCATATATTCATGTATTTTGAATGATTGAGTTCATATTTTTACCCTTAATTTTACTCTCTCTAATTCTCTCTCACTCTCCCCCTATCCACACTCGATTAAT